CCATCCTTTCCCAACCAATGGGAACTCTCCCATTACAAGAGTGACATGAGTAACCTGAGTCCCGAAACGGACCCAGGTAAACAGCAGGAGTCCAATTACCATATGAATGTAACTTAACATAATCATAATCTGAATGGCTGGCTGGCAGTCACTAAACTCAAAGGTGCCTGTATCAATATTTTTGCTGTGGCTCCTAGCAATTTGTGTGTAAAGTGCTAGTTTATTTATAAACTATTTRAATAAACTTTAAAGTCTGCTTGATAGCAGACTGACATCTCAACTGCTTTATGGTCAGAACTGATATTTCATCTTGCTGGGTCAAGCTTACTTGAGGGTTCCCTTTCTTTAAAACCTGGATCACCACCATTAGTGCTGTGGTGAAGCTGGACAGCCTGCTTACAAAAGCTGAAAAAGGACAAGATCTTCCATAAGAATTCAAGTAGCCTGTTTCAAATGTCCTTTCTTTCTAGGTAACACCACTAGCTTATTAATAAACAGGATTGATTCTGATAGCTACACAGTTTTATAGATGTTGTTAATAAACCTTAAGGACAATGGTGTAGCTGGTTGATTCACTTTAGCTGATTTTTTCTGAGGAGGGTGGCATCCAAGGTAAGAGAATTCTCTGTTGGATTCAACACCACTCCAATCTTCTGATACTCAACTACTCTCTTCTCAAAGAAGTTAGTCTTCCCTTCCAGTGAAATATTCTCCATAATGTCAAGTGGATTTTCCACTCTGAAAGTCTCGCTAGAGCCCAGTTTCAGCATAAGCCTGTCTGCCACAAATTCAATGCACTGCTTCATCAAAGAGCAGTTCATCCCAATGAGCTTCACAGGCAAGGCCTTGGTGAGGAACTCCCGTTCTATCCTAACAAAATTGATAATTACTTTTATCCTCTTCTCCCACAGTGTGTAGCAAGTATTTGAACATTGAGCAGGCAAAATCACTCATCTCTGCTAATAAGTTCATTGGAAAATGTGAGACCAGGCATCAGCTGTCATTTCTTAAGCCAGAATATATTGATGCAAAAGAACCAGAAAAGAAGATTTCTTCCACATTAGCAAAGGCTACATCATGCTCTCCACAAATAGACTTTTTATCCTGATTCCAAATCTGTTTTCTTCTTCACACAAGGCATCATTTCAGTGCCATTGAAGATAAATTCTTTTTCTTTGGAATTTTTAATGTGACAATAAGGAAACTGTACATTACAGAATGTATTTTTCCTGTGGCAATTTGGAATCCATAGAAACAGTGGGCTTCTGTAATTTGAATTTCTTGGCTAAATTGCTTCACCAATTTTTCATGTATTATGCCATCACCTGGTAAAAGCCAGAACATGTGCTATAAAATCTCTCTCCTCAAGCTTCAGGGCTTCCCAGGGTTGAATGTTCCTGAAAAAATCTACCTCCTTAACTGTCCAAAAGGAAGCCTCAGCGTTTTTTTTGTTTTGTTTTGTTTTGCTTTTTTTCAAAGAGAGTGAGAGAGAGAGAGAGAGGGAGAGAGAATTTTTAATATTTATTTTTAGTTTTTCAGCGGACAAAACATGTTTGTATGTGATGCTGAGGATGGAACCCCATCCTCATGCCAGGTGAGCGTGCTACCRTTTGAGCGYGCTACCCAGCCCAAGCCTCAGCTTTTTTATACATCTGCCAAATGTCATGGTATTCTATAGAAAAGAGGACAATGCAGAGTGCATTTTCTCTCAGTAGTGATTCATCCTCTATGCTGGGGTCAGGTTCTTTGGGCTCCTGGAAGATCCCCCTGGCGGTCTTGTGCACCAGAACTCTGAGTGACCTGTTCTCCTTGGGGGTCACGCTGAGTTCCTTCAACAGAAACAGCTACAGCCACAGCTGCTGCTGTGTGGGATGGTGGCTACTGAAGGGGAGTTGCGGGGAGGCGGACCCAAAGCATGGTGGTGGGGCGGCAGGGCAGTGACTGGAGTTGGAGGAGAGAAGAATGCTGGCTCTAGAGCTCTCTCTTTCTCCCCTTCCCCTCCTGCCTCCCCTTCCCTCCCTCCTCTCTCTCTCTCTCTCTCTCTCTCTCTCTCTCTCTCTCTCTCCTGATTCCACAGGTTCGCTGGAGTTTATTTTTTCAGTCAACTTCCTCTTTGTGCTTCCGATTAGATAATTTTTATATTTTTTTCCAATTCACTGATTTGTCTTTCTGTCCACTTCAGTCTTCCATTTTTTTTCCCATTTATGTTACTGTGGTTTTTAGCCCCCCCCCAAAAATCCATTTGGTTCTTATTTATGTTCTATTTTTTTTTCTATTTACGTGTAATTTCTTTACCAATTCATCTCCACTTGAACCTTCCCTGAAACCTCCCATGGAGATACTAGCTCCACATTCACCACATTTTGTTCCTCTGATATTTGGCTGGAGTAGAGTTAATATTATCTAAATGTTTCTGTCTTGATAGACTGCCCCTTTCCAGGTCCTTTAGCTTAAAAAAAAAAAAAAAGGCATTTTCATTACTTTTTTTTTTTTTTCTGTCTGCACACTTTGGCATTTCCAAGTTGCCAGTGTCTACAGTTCCAAGTCTGGGGTGTATGATGAAAAAGAAAACCCAAGGAAGACACTTACCACTTATCTCTTAACCAGTGTGCTTCTCTTCTCCACTTTTCAGTGTCTTCTTATGTTTTCTTTTACACAATGTCTGGAGTTTTTTGTTTTGTTTCTTTCTTTGAGGTACTGGAGATTGAACCCAGGGCCTTGTGCATGCAAGGCAAACACTCTATCAACTGAGTTATATTCCCAGCCCTGGAGTTTTTAGTTATACTTGGTTGGAAGAATAGGARAAAGCACATCAACTCTACTTTTCCTGGAAGCCAAGACCTGGGGTTTAATAAGGCCTTCTGTAATATATTCTCTAATACCAAGCAGTTCTTTTATGTGACTAAAATTTTGGAGGAATATATTTAATTTTCTTTCGCAAATGAAAATGGAAATTTGTGGTTAGCTCCTCACATTATGTGCACTGTAATTATGCAACTATGCACAGTATTAATTTATGCCTTATTTTTCTCTTGTCAAATTTTGCATTATAAATTCAATTTTTTATACTTTCCATGTTTATAATTATTTTTAAATGTACCCTCTTCAGTCTTGTTTCTGGTTAAAACATGYAAACTGAAATTGAATAGGAAAAAAGAAAACTTTAAGCAATGATGGATAGTGTGAGTTTATTACTACCTGAATTTTGAAAGTCATCATCTTGTTAATAAATACTAAGATTGCATTTGTTTCATGTAATATTTTACTTTCCACAATGTGCTTCTTGTTTCCTTCCCGTGCCACATCCTGAGAAGGAAGTTGACAAAGAAATTCTTCTACATCTAGTTCTGTTTTATGTGAAGCTATATAATTTGAGGAGGTCTTCTTTAAACTGATAAAACAGATACTACACTTAGTCTTAGTAACAAGATCCAGAAGCAATTAAAGCCATCTTTAAGATAAATAACACAAGACTTTAGAAGCGGCAGTGCAAATGAAAGGACCWTGAAGCTTAAATTTTACTAGCTTCATAGAATATACAGCTTTTATCTATAAACAGGGGAAAACATGGAAGAGCTAATGATTTTTTTCTAGGTATATCATAAGCATGATAAGCCTTAAAAATCAGCCACCCTTTAGAGATCACAAAGCACAGAAAACCCCCTCTTTTCCACAAACAGGGAAGCTTTTATTTTTAAGAAGGCTTTTCTCTTTCACTCTGCTCTTTCTCTCTCTAGTTATGTCTGTAATTTCTAATGTTGCTGGCAGTGACTTGCTTTGTGGTCATGAATAGACCAGTGAAAAAGAGCAGAAAAAAGAAAAAGGTCCATCTTCCTTATTTTAGGACATAGGTAGTTAGAAAATTTGAGAAATATTCTCTACATAGGCCCCAATCCAGTTAACTTTTTTTCCTATAATTGAGAGAAAAGTAAATTGAAAAATTTTATTTAGATTTAATAAATTTAATAAGTTGAGAAAATATAATTCTTTTTAGATAACACTGGTTGATGTTTCAAAATTATTGAAATTCAATAATTTGATTCAATAATCATTGTTACCCTCCCTATTTTGGTGCCATCCARCATCCAAAACATGAACTAMACGCAACCCCTAATGTTTACCAGTTGTTTTCATTTAAAATGAGGTCAATGCAGAACATTTTAATTACAGAAATRTGAAATAAACTATGCTAGCTATTTCTTAATTAATTTTATTTATTTGAAATGAGACATTAGTTTGAAAATTTCTTTCAGGACATTTTTGTACCACAATCTTTTTTGGGCTGATGAGATATTTCAAATCTGTTTGCTTTATGTAAAAGGACTTTGTGAAGATGCAATTAATCTCAAAAATGATAATGAACACAAAGATAATACATCTGCTATATGGCTTGTAAAGGTAGGTAAACTACAATCAGCTAATATTGGTATGTGGAAACTGGAAAGAACAAGTGGAAGAGTTTTGTATGTCTGAATGTGTATATTTATGTGTGTTTTCTGGTACTGAGGAGTGAACCTGGAAGAATTCTACCACTGAGTTACATCCTCATCCCTGTTTTATTTTTCTTTTTGAGATAGGGTCTCAGTAAATTGCAGAGACTTTCCTCTAATTTGTGATTTTCATTTTGAGGTAGGGTYTCAGTAAATTGCAGAGACTGMCCTCTAATTTGTGATCCTCTTGTTCCTCCTATCTCAGTCTCCTCAATCACTGGGATTATGGGAGTGAACCACAACTTCCAGATATAAGCAAAGTTTTGAATGAAAGGAAAACAGATTTCTAGATCCATAAGTAAACCATTCCTATGAGTGACTATTATTCTAAAATAAGGACATGATTGCCAGGGATGTCAGTTTTAACAGTTAATAACATTCCTTAGAAAGAATGTCTTTCTTGTTCTTAACCTAAATCTCTGAGATGTTTTATTTACTTTATTTATTTATTTTATTTACATATGTATTTAGAGACAATACAATACAGTATTATTTTACCTAATACATAATTGGCAGTTATCAGCTATCCTTCCCTCAGTATGTATGTATGTATGTATATATATACACACATAGTTTTCAGCTATCCTTCCTTCGGGGGTGTGTGTATGTGTGTGTGTGTGTGTGTGTGTGTGTGTGTGTGTGTGTATACACCACATATACATGTTAAGACCTTATAAGTTGCAACTCAAGAGATTTTAGTTAAATTTATGAATTCTCTTGTTTCAATATTCTATAAAGAATGAACTTTTTAATGAAATGATTTAATTATATTTATATATTTAATTATATTTATATATTTTGAAGAGTTAAAACACATAGAACTATAAATCTCAAGAATTTAGTGTACAGTTGAATAGGATTGCAGCAGATTTTACTTCATCAACCCACTGTATAGAGGAGATACTGAAAGGTAAAATTGTTAAGGGGCTTGGACAAATTATGATTTTGACAATCAGATAAAAAATTTACTGTGTTAACTATACACATGTGATAAGATCAATTAACATTTTAATTTTAGAATTGATTATATATAATTATTGTTCAATTTTCTTTTAGTGAATGAATAAATAAAATTAATTAATGGAGGATGAATTAATCACTACATATGAAATATATTTCATATATTTGGGATATCTATTTTCAAAATATTAATATTTCARAAAATTAAATTCAACTGAAGTAGGAGACATTTCACAGAGCTGTATTTTTGAGACGGTTTTCATATAGAAGGAAATAGGTYGGGCAGCTGATAACGGTTTGAAGTTTGATTGTTTTATGACTGACTGAGAGACAGAATTTATCAATTAACTTAATGATGGGTGGAAAGGCAAAGGAGACTTTAGAAAATCTCTTTAAGTTTGTACCTAATATGCTAATGTAATGCTAACAGTGATAGAGAAGGAATGTTAGGAYTTCTTTCTGGAGATTTCAAGCCATATCAGCTTTCCCCCAGAACATCAAAAGGAGAGAAATAAACTTTGCCAGATGATATGCAAGTATTTGTTGATTTTCTATTRTATGCAAAGTGCTGTACCAAGGAGAGGAATACAAAATAAAAACAAATAATTGGTGTTTTCAGTCTGTCTGTAGTTTGTAAATAGTTTATACTTATAAAATTGATGATTAATTTCTAGAGGTAGTCCCTTTGTTTTCCCAATCAGTATTGCTAATCAGTTAGAAAAATGCAAATCAAAAAATGTTTCCTGGCAAATAATACTTGTAAAAAACAGTCATATCATAGAAATCAGAAGCAGAAATTAGCTTTATTTGGAGTCAAGTTAGGACATGCTTTACATTGTGAGTTAGGCCATGCTGAATTTTAGTAGTCAGAAAAGAAGGGTAAGACAGTAAAAAAAGGATTTCAAATGTGGATAAGCTATTCAATATAAATTTGATTTAAAAGTCAGTTTAGTTCATGAATGTCAGGCTTAGAATAATACAATAAGGGAAAAATAGGATCCAAATCTCCCCAAAGGGCAGGAACATTTTTAGAGGGAGTTGTTAGGTGAACAGTTTGTAAGAATGGGAGTTCCTGAGACTGTCCATGGAGAAGCCAGTCTCAGATAGAGGGAGAGCAAAGCCTGAAGTCAGGATTGAAAAGGTGACCAGTTGTGATTAGAACTGGGAGGTTATGCATTGCTGGGAGATGCAGACACCAATAAAGACTGACAGTAGGGAGCTGAGGATAATGAAGCAAGGTTATGCATGTAACGGAGAGGATTCTTCTGTGCCATGAATGGTACTCATGAGCATACCATGTTATGTGTTAACTATACACATGTAATACTCTATCAGAATAAAAGCACACCTGTAAATGAGGTGAAATTTCTAGAACTAGAAGTGAAAGAACATGTGGAACAAAAACAAAAAGTTAGTATGGAAATCATTTCTCAAAAGATTAGGAATGGAACCACCATATAACCCAGTTATACCATTCCACAGTATTTATCCTAAAGAACTAAAGTCAGCATTCTATAGCAATACATTCATACCCATGTTTATAAAAGCATAATTCACAATAGCCAAATTTTGGAAACAGCTTAGATGTCGATCAATGAATGAACAACTATTCATTTACGTGTGTGTATGTGTATTCATATATAAAAATCTATGAATTTACATATATGTAAAATGGAATTTTATTTATCCATAAATAAGAATGAAATTATATCCCATTTGCAGGATAATTGATGGAGCTTGAGAGCATTATATTAAGCAAAATAAGCCAACCTCAGAAAATTAAGGGTCATGTGAGGAAACTAGAGAGAAAAAAAAAGGGAAGGAGGGCTTCTATGAAAATAGAAGGGAGACTAATAGGGTAGAGGAAGGGGTTCAGGTGGACATAGGAGAGAGGAGGGAGAGAGGAAATACTGGGGAATTGAATTGACCATATTATAGTGTTATATTGTGTGCATTATGAATATGTTAAAATGAATCCCACTATTATATATAATTGCCATGCATCAATAAAATAGATAAATATGTAATTGTGCTACTAAAACGTGTTAATTAAAATATGTTAATGTAAAAAGAAAAGAACATGTGGATTATTTTATTCAAACCTTTACTTTCAAATGATGAAACTGATAGATTATCCTTATCCAAGTTTACAGAACAAGGTAGAGTTGAGACTTTGGATTGTTTCATATTCAAGAGTAATGTTTGTTTTATTGGGAAAAATTTGGGGTGCTTAATAAAGATGTACTTTTAGGGGAGAGGATAGTGGCTGGTAATCTATACTTCTAGCAAGTTTCTGAGGTGATCTTATGCCAGGTAAATTTCGAGAACTTTTCTGAAAGAATAACTATTGAAAGTTTCCCAGCATGGTATTCTTAGGAAAATTACCATGATACTGGTGTGTAGAAAAAATTGTAAGTGGAGAGATGCTGGGGTTAAAGAATTAATTGGTACACTATGAAAATAATATCAGCAAAAGCAATAAGAACTTCAATTAGGGGGTTGGCAGTGAGAGCAGGAAAAAAAAAAGGAGCTTTCTGAGAAATATTTTACTAAAAAAATTAGGAACTAGTAATCAGTCATGGAACCAAGAGAGAAATTCAAAAAGTAAATCCACAATGTTAAGGCTAAAGCAGTACTTCTTAAACTTTTTTGTTTGTTTRGGCAACTTACCTTATTTTGTATTATATCTAGGGAAAACATTGTCTGCATATTTATTGGTGAAAATGTATTGTGTCAAGAAAATTAACATAGTAATATAGGAAAAAATAAGAAAATATTAAAAGAAGGAAAAATGATGGCTTACACATGAATGGGTGAAACTTTTTGTTTCAATGTTATTAACAAAGATAAACAGCATGGTTGATGTGTGTGTGTGTGTGTGTGTGTGTGTGTGTGTGTTTCTGATGATGACATGGTTACCCAGCCATCAAGCCATGAAGCCAGTCCACTTGTCCCTACCTAGAAGCATCAGGGGAGCAGTGAAATGATGGAGTAGCAGCCCAGTTGGGCTGAAGCACGGGCAGCAAGCATGAGCTGCCATGTGGAGCCTGCCATGGCAATGCAGGCTTGAGGCACAGCAGGCCAGTGCAAGGGTCAGCTGAGGCAAGCTGAACTGTCAGCCCTTGGCGGCCCAGTCTGCTCACATTGGTCATGTCCACTGCAAAAGTGCACTCCTGGAAGCTCTGCAGCTCCAGACACCCCACTGAACATGAGCAATTGGATGACTTCAACCTCCTTTTTTTCCAAAGGGTGGAGAAAATGGAAGTAAGGCAAACCTGATGAGTTTCAGGGTTAACCAATAGTGTTATTCCTTTTTCAAACCTTAATTAGCATAAATTTCAATAGCATTAGTACTTTTCCAAATCCTTATTAGCCTAWGTTTGGACTAATAGCAGTGACCCAAGGGCTTATATAAACCCCCAGACTTGGATGAAGAAAACTACTATTGGGTCCCCTCTTATGCTACAAAAGTTCTGTTCCTATTCTTCAATAAATCCTGATCTTAGACTCATTCATCCTGGTTTGTGGATTTCATTCTTTGAATTCAAAAGACAAGAATTCAGAAAGAAGAAGAAATTGATGGTGAGTTGCTGGGGTCTGCTGCAACACTAAAGGACATAGGTAAACCTCCCCACCACCTATCAGCAGAAGTGAAGAAACTTCTGTCTTGCTTGCCAACAGAAGCAGAGAATCAAGTTTCATCTCAAAACTCCAGTTTCACTAGCTTCTGAACAAATTCTGAATAAAATTTATTATTTATATTGCTATTATTTAACTTAATCCTTTTTATCCTGAATTTCATGTTCATGTTTTTAAGTTTTACAAATAATTGGGGAAAATCAAAAGTTAAAGTAATTTCTAGAACTGGTGGGTTCTCTAGGTTTGTAAATATTTAAAAAACATCTTAACTTTTAAATTTTCTGCTTCAGTTTAATCTTCATTATGATTTAAAATAACAATGTATATTTTATATCTTTTTATGAAGATTCAATTAGATTTAACTATGGGTTATTTAAATTTGAAAAACAGAAAATACCTATAATACATATATAAAAAGAAATCATAAAATATGTTCTTATCTATGTGAAAAGATAACCAAGTATCTCATCTTTCTCTTTTTTTGTTTGTAAATGAGTTTTTTGACTTTCYAACACTCAATTTTACTATCATTTAATTAGCTGGATACTTCTCGAACATATTCTCTAGATGAATTTTGTGAAGAACAGTTTCAGCAAACTACTCAGGCACTGAAACAACTTGAAGATATTAGGGATAAAGCAATTTCAAAAGTGAAAMGTACAATCTTAAAGGTAATTGTTTAATTACATCCTCTCAGTTGCTATGTACTGACTGAAGCAATTGCTCCAAATTGCAACTCTGGAGAGTGTTGGAAATTGACAGTGGAGATAAAAGGAGTTTGATTAATCAACTAATGGATACTGCCTATTTATAAGAACCCTTCCAGGTGCCACATAACATGCAAACAAATATRTATGTATGTTTGTTAATACATATATGTATGTATACAKCCATATGAATGCCCATGTACATGTTTATGTATACAACTTAAGGATGCTTAAATCTATAACTTGARGTGRCATACTGCATGTAAAGGGAAATGTGATTAGCTACAAAGTTCATAGTGTCCATAAGATAAAGAAAAAAACATTGCTCAGGCAAGATGAAAAAACATAACTATATGAAAAAAAACTTGAAAGAAGATTCAATAATATAATGATCAATCCTCTCACAACATTCTCATTCTGTATGCTGTTAGGTATCTTATACACTGTTACAAAAGGCCCCTCTATGTTGAAACATGTAGATATGAAATTAGTATGTTCTTTCTTGTTTGACTTTCAAAATTTATCTACTTGTTAGATAAGCTTCAAAACACATAAATTATTCTCTTTTTGGCTGATGTTTACATACAGTACAAGCATAAAGTAAAATTTTAATGGACGTTTTTGATCAATTTTAACTCCAATATATTATTCAGACTAATGAAATACTAGAAACTAGAAACCATGCTGTATTAACATAGGAAATCATCACAATTTTCTATAAAATTGTAGGTTGCAGAAAAGAAAGAAATTAAAGAATATTTTGAATCAAAGTCATTTGAAGGTGAAACAACACATTTCAAGCTGTGTGCATATCGGCATTTATTGGAAACAGGTTACAGGTTTATGATGCTGATTGACTGCATACTTCAGGAACTCATCCGTCAACTTATGAATATTGCAGTCACACTACTTTTGGAAGAATTTAATGGTTCTGCTAGAATGCCACTTTCAGCAGAAAAGAAGAATGAAAATCTCATTGGGTAAAGCATGCTTTTTTGACTAATAAAAATAAGTTATCTTATAATATATTTCTACTTATGGAGAAAATATCCAGTAATTTAAGCTAGAATTTGGAAATTCTCCTTGTAGCAGAGTACTCACTGTTCCAATTATCAAAACTTATTATTTAGATGTATTTTAATGTTAAAGTTTAAGATAATTTCTAAGTTTCTTCACAAATCTGGTTGCCATATAAAGTGCAAGATGTCCAGTGAAATGTGAATTTCAGATAGATAATTTTTGTATGATTTTTGTATGCAGTATGTTCCAAACATTACCTATACTAAAAATTACTTGTTGTTTATCTGAAATTCGAATTTTACTAGATATCTTGTATTCATTTGCTAAGTCTGGCAATCCTATGTTCAATGCTAGCTCTTAATGATATGTGAGAATGATTTTGGAAAGAGCCACAGGTTCAGTTGAAATTTGAGTCAGCTTCAGGAAATATCTATTAAATATTTCTCCCAAATAAGACAGTATTTGAAAAATAATTCTGACCTTTTATTGAAATACTACCATTAAAAACAAAGCATTCAAAGTTATACTCCATTTATGTATAATATGTCAAAATGCATTTTATTGTCATGTATAACTAATTAGAACAAATAAAAATATATTAAAAAAATAAAGCATTTTTTCTTATTTTCTACAAGTGGATCTATCTACTCTAACTTGTGAAACAARGCATATTAATTTAAATGGTTGAATATTTATATCAAAACTATCAAAATTTAGCATTATTATTTTAGTCAAATCAAAGTTTCATTATCATAACTCAGAGCTGAAAATGTATTAATTCATAAAAATTTGSAGAATATTAAAGATAACCTATTCTGTTTATCTAATTATTTCTGACTCCACAGAGCTTATGTCATGAGCTTACTAGCATCTTAACTGGTTTGAACCAGTACCAAGACTTTAGCCTATGCAGGAACATAACTTTTTAGTGATAGCACATTATAATTTTATTTCCTCTAAATCTGTGTGTGTGTTTTTAAAAAAATCTTTACATCCTAAACGTAGCTTTTTAACAAAAAATATTAGTATAGATAATTCATCTTACTTTATAAAATTTGGGAAACAACCCCTAATTCCATCACTTAAATATGGTGTCTTTTTGTATGTGCAGTTTTCTAGACTTCTCGACATATTTTTCCTAGTGTAACTCAGTTTTTAAGCACACCATRTCTTGTGTATGTTTTATGGTATGGAAGAAATACATAGGTTGTGGTTGAAATTATTCCATTTTTTGTGTGTGTGGATCAGATCACCTGGGTTCTAATCTATATTCTGTGTCTTGACTAGTTTCATGACTTAGGTTGCCTATTAACCTATTAATTGTGCTGTCTTTTTATATTGAGAATTCTTTGTATAATTTTGGATTCTGTGGGTTTTCTTTTCACTTTCTTGATAGTATTCATTGGAACACAAAAGTTTTAAACTTTTATGAATTTTATTTATTTATTTTTGATTYATTGTGCTTTATGTGTATCTAAGAAGTCATTCCCTAATCTAAGGTCATGAAGATTTATACTGGTTTTCTTTTTGTAAAATTTTATAACTTCAAATCTTGCTTTTACATATTTGAGTTAGTTTTTTTTTATTAATGTGATAGGGGTCCAAACTCATTCTTTGGCATATGAATATCCAGTTGTCCCAGCACTATTTGTTGAAAGCAAAATACCATTTCTTCATTGAATTGTCTTGGCATACTATTTGACAGTCAGATGACCGTAAACATATGGGTTTATTTCTGGACTCTCAATTTTGTTCCATTGGCATATATATATATATATATATATATATATATATATACTGATATCACACTACCTTGACTATAATAACCTTGTCATAAGTTTTGAAACTGGAAAACGTGAATTTTCCAATGATGTTGTTCTTATTAATATTGTTTTGGCTATTCTGATTCACTTGAATTTCTGTATGTATTTTTAGAGTCAGCTTGCCAGTTTCTGCTAAAAGCAATTGGGATTTTGATAGAAATTTCATTAAATTTGTACATTAATATTGTGCGAAATTTCATACCAAGAATATATAGTCCTCCAAYCCATGAACACGGAATGTCTTTCCATTTACTTAGTAGGACTTCTTTAATTTCTTTAATAATGTTTTGTAGTTTTCAGTATTTGAGTCATTCCTTCTTTTGTAAATTTATCATAAAAAATTTGTTCTTTTCATGCTATTATGAATGGAATTATTTTTTCATATTTGGATGTTCATTGCTCATTGATTGAAATACAATTGATTTATATACATTGATCTTATACCCTGCAATCTTGTTGAATCTGTTTACTAGCTCTAATATCTTGTTTTGTTTTCTTATTCCCTGGGATTTTCTATTTACAGGATYGTATCATCTACAAATAGAGATAATTTCACTTCTTCCTTCCCAATAAGATGCCTTTTATTTTTTTGTTGCTTTATGGTCATAGCTAGTAAGTACTTTAATACAATGTTGRTTAGGAGTGGTGGATTGAACATCCCTGTTTTGTTCCTGATTTGGGGGGCACCTTATTCTTTTATTATTAAACATTATGCCACCTGTGAGTTTTTAAAAAATACTTTTTATCAGTTGAGGAAGTTCAYATCTAGCTTTATTTGTTGAATGTTTTTATCATGAGGTATTGTTGGATCTTGTCAAATACTTTTTTTCTGTATCAATTGAGATAACTATGTGTTCTTTGTTCTATTAATATGGCAAATTATGCTATATACATACATTTTCATAGGCTGAATCAACTTTGTATTCTTGGGATARGTGTAATTTTATTATAGTGTAAAATCCTTTGTATATGCTGCTGGATTTGATTTGCTAGTATTTTATTGAGGTTTTCTGCTTCTATGAATATTGGTCTATAGTTTTCCCATGATGCCTTTGGTTTTGGTCTCAGGGTAGTAGTGATCTCCAAGAATAAATTGGGAGGAGCTACCTCCTTTTCTATCTTTGGGAAAAAATGGGAAGAATTGGTATTAGTTCTTTCTGAAAAAATTGGTAGAATGTCCTTGTTATGGTTTGAATGTGTCCCCCAAAGTTCATGTGTTGGAAACYTTATCCCTGATGTAACCAGGTTAAGAGGTAGGATGTTTAAGAGTGACTAGGTCATGAAGGCTCTATCCTTATGAATAGATTAATGTCATTATTTCTAGAGTGGGTTACTGACAAAAGAATGAGTTCAGCCCCTTTCTCTTCTCTGTCTTTGTCTCTCTCATGTTCTCTTGCCTTCCATCATGGGGTGACATAGTCAGAAAGCCCTCACTAGATGGAAGCCCCTTGACATTGGGCTTCTTAGTCTCCAGAATATTAAGAAATAACTCTCTATTATTTATAATTTACCCAATCTCAAGTGTTTTGTTATAGTAGCACAAAAAGGACYAAGTGTAGGCCTGGGCTTTTTTGTATGTAAAGTGTGTTAGTCAGCTTTTTGTTGCTATGACAGATACCTGAGAAAATGAACCTAGATGAGGAAAGATTTGTTTTGGCTTGTGGTTTCAGAGGTTTCAATGCATGGGCAKCTGGCTCCATTGCTTTGGGCCTGATGTGAGGCAGACCATCATAATGAGAAGAAAGTTGCTTACTCATGGCAGTTAGGAAACTGACAGTGGGGATCAAAAATATTCTTCTAGGCCATGCCNTGAGAAAATGAACCTAGATGAGGAAAGATTTGTTTTGGCTTGTGGTTTCAGAGGTTTCAATGCATGGGCAKCTGGCTCCATTGCTTTGGGCCTGATGTGAGGCAGACCATCATAATGAGAAGAAAGTTGCTTACTCATGGCAGTTAGGAAACTGACAGTGGGGATCAAAAATATTCTTCTAGGCCATGCCCCTAGTGACCTACTCCCTTTGAGTAGGTCTCCYCTCCCAGTAGTATATTCAGATATTAATGAATGCATGCACTGATGAGATCAGAGTCCTCATGATCCCAATTACTTGCAAAAAATCCCCACCACTGAACACTGCTACATTAAAGACTAAGCCCTCAACACATGAATCTTTGCGGGACATTTCAGATCYAAACCATAACAGGAAGTATTACAGTCATCTGTTAAATTGCTTTATTTGTTATTGATCTATTTATATTTCTTCTTGAGACATTTTGGTATTTTGTGTCTTTCTAGAATTTTGTCTATTTTATTTAAATTATCTAAACTGTTAGCATATAGCTGTTTATAATACTTACTCATTATCTTTTAAATTTCTATAAGGTCAGTAGTGATATCTTCTTTTTTATTCTAGAGTTTAGTAATTTGGGGATTCTCTTCTTCTTCTTTTTTTTTCAGCCTAGCTATCAGTTTATCAATTTTCTCAATCATTTTAAGCAACCAACTTTTGATCTTATTGATTTTTTTTTCACCTTTTCTCTATTTCACTTATTTCCATTCTAGTCTTTATTATTTCTTTTCTGCTTGCTTAGGCTTAGTTTGTTTATTTTCTCTTTTTTAGAAGTAGCAGTTTAGATTATTTAGTTGAAATCTTTTATTCTTTTTTAATGTAATTTTTATAGCAACCAATTTCTCTTCAACACTGCTTTCACTGAACAAGGAGTTTGGTATATTATATTTTAATTTTCATTAACTTTCTTCATTTAATTTTTATGCTGATTTCCCCTGTAATTTCATATTTGACTCACTGGTTATTAAGGAGTGTTTTCTATGTAAGATTGATTTTTTTTCTTCCTTTTTTTTCTAACTCAACAGTGTGATTATTTTCCTCATTATTTTTTTCTAGAAGTTTTGTGCTTTTTGATTTTATGTTACATTTATGCACGTTTTCAAGCAAAATTTTGTAAATTGTTCAAGGTGTGGTCTGAGGTATATATTATTTTGCATATGGATATTTAGTTACTCCATCCGTTTCCCAAAATGACTATTATTCCTCCATGGAATTGCCTTGGCAGCTTGTTGAAAATTAATTAAATATTTTTGGAGTCCATTTCTGAACTCTCTCTTCTGTGCCAGCRAT